CCGTGGACAGGATGCCAGTCCATCACAGGGGACACCGTGGACAGGATGCCAGTCCATCACAGGGGACACCGTGGACAGGATGCCAGTCCATCACAGGGGACATCGTGGACAAAATACCAGTCCATCATCCTGTCCAACTGGACGCCAGGGTTACTACTGCTGTATAAGTATGATGTTCATGGATGTAGGCAGCAAACTTAAAGCCGGAATATCCAGCCATTTTTCAGGGATTTGGTTACAGCAATTCCAGTCTAGCGGAGGCTGGAGATGCGGGGAACAGCCTGAGTGTCTGAGCAGGATCACTGTAGGACAGACGGGCCTGACTCGGGCACGTCTCACACACTCCCACGAACATCCTCTCCAAACATCCTCTCCATTATGCTTTTAATGGAGGCCCAAGGCACAAACTAACCCGAGTTATAAGTGCATAACTTTGTATCCCATGACTTTTAGCAGGTCAATTATATTCTAGCAGACCTCCGAAATTCCGGCACACGCCCGGAGAGCCCCTCTGGGAAATGTGTACAGGGTTCAGGGTTACCGGATACATCTGCGGCTTGGTGCGTGGGTGGGGTTGTGTATACCCCACAGGTTCATCTAGGAAAGGTTGGGGCACTGGGGGGGGGGGGGGTTTCAGGTGCCACACTGATGTTTCCACATCAGTCCCGTATCACTTAACTCATAACCACCCAATCAGTTCCTGGCTCCTCACACAACTTCCAGCCACAAACACACAGGTTTGTAATAATATCTTTGTGGGGACTCTCCATTCATTTCTATGGGAAAAACCCTAATCACAACATGACGACCTTAACCCCTACCCAGTCCTAACCTTAACCATAAGTAACCAAACAAAATAGAAGTGTTTTGGCATTTTTAGTTTTTTTGATTGCAGTCACATATTTTAATAAAACTGTGGGGACAAAAAAAAATAATCCCAAAAGGTCAAAATAACAGGTTTTTATCACATTGTGTGGGAGTTGGACCCCCACAGTGTAATATATACATAATATATACATAACCCCCACACACACAGACACGCACAGTAGAGTTGTCACAATACTACAAT